GCAGCGTTAGAGCCGCGACTGGGGGCACGGGCCCTGCTCCTGCAATGGAGACGATGCCCGCGAATGGCAGGACGGCGGAGTTATGGTCCATGCCCTCCAGCTGCGCCCTGGCATGATGCGCGGATTGCTGCATTCGATCGGCGAGGGCGAGGGTTATGCCCTGCACTGCGTACCAGTGCGCGACGTGGAAGACCGTGATGTCGTCGACGCCCAGCGAGCCGGGATAGTACGCGTGGGCGTACGGACCAGTGGGGTCCAGTTGCCACTGGGCCAGGATGTGCCGGTATAGGCCGGGCACCGAAAAGAGGGTCAGGGTCAGGGCGACCCACCGCGCGCGCTCTTGGTTCGTGCGGTCTCGCGCGATCGGGTGCCGCGAGTATACGAACAGCTGGGCGGCTTCCAGCGTTGGACCTCCATCCTGGTCCCGTTCCATCCACGGCGGGATGCGGTCTTGGTACGACCTCCACCAATCACGGTGATGCTCGGGCGGGTCACTCGTCCTCGGCTGAGCACGGCGTGGACCATTAAGGTCCTGGAGCGGGTGCATGGCCTTGTGGAGCGGTTGCGAGGGCAGCATGCCCGGGCGTCGCCCCAGAGGTGGCGGCAGGTGCGAGGTGTCCGCGAACTCCATGCCCGGCGGCGTATAGGCCGCGGGGTGCATGATGGTGGGGAGGTACGGCTTCTTATCCGGATTCTTCCACGCATCTGCGAGCGTGCGGAGTCCCCGTACTCCCTGCAGTGCCGAGTTTTCGGAGATCTGGTGCAACAGATGGCTGATGCGGCTACGCGCCTGGCCCATGTCGTGCTGAGTGGCCTGCAGCAGTCGCTGCGCGTCATCGACAGTGACCGGTACGAAGTTGTACCAATGATCGGTTTCGCGGGGGTTGGAGTCCTGCGGGACCGGAAGGAGGTGGTAAGGCCCATCCTTCAATTGGTGGACGTGGGCTGCGTCCGTCATGCGAGTAATTCGCAGGACGAGGAGGGGGGTCGAACGGCTCGCCTCGAATCGCCTGCTGGCGACGTCGACGGTCGGTCTTTTTCCGAACGTACTTCTCGTCGACGAGGTCGGCCTCATATTCCTCTCCGCTGGACAACTCCTCGAAGTCCTGGAAGTCTACCACTGGTCCTCGACCAGTGGTGGGGTGACGACTGGGGGAGCCTAATGACTCCGGGGACGAGGCTGGCGGCATCCCACTGGATGCTTGGTGGGGGGTCCTTGGTGGACCAGCATTGAACACCGATGCTGATGAGGGCTGCGAGGTCCGTGACGGACCAGCCATCGGCATTGATGACGGCGCAGACGTGGTTGCCCAGGACGACCCGAGGGTCAGCCTCGACGACGACGACGACGACACGGGCGCGGGTGCCCAGGAGGGCCCAGCCATAGGCATGGGTTCGTCCCGCATTTGCGAGGACCCCGTGTTGACTGGTCCGGATCCTTGAGCGGACGGACGACGCGGACTGTCGTCCCGTGCTGATCGTGACAGACGCGCAGGGTACGCCCTCTGTGGTGACTCCGGGAAATCCGGGTGCCCCGGGGGTACTGCAGGCACTCGCCGTGCTTGGTTGGGCCGTGTCTGACTCGCCCACGCGCGCAGTCGGCTGTCCTCGCGCATCTGTTCTCGAGCCTGGTCGTGTTCCGACCGATACCTGTCGCGGTCGCGCCGGAGCGTTGTCGCCTCCTCTCGTGCTGCCCGGAGCTGTTGCTCCAACTCGTCGGCAAACCTGGCGCGTTCGCGAAGCGAATTGGCCTCTGCCAACGCAGCCTGGAGCTGCCACTCCAATTCTTCTATCTGTCGCGCGTGCTCAGCGCGGCCTTCTCCCTCCCTGGAGCGCGCATGCTCCTCAAAGTATGCCCAGAACTGCGTCTGCAGCTGAGTCTGCACGGACGTCAACGCGTCCCGGAAAGTCGAGTCCCCCATTGCCGCCTGATAATGGCGCACGAACTCCATGCAGTGCGGGCACCCCGCGGTGTGCACCACCAGTAAGTGGTGGTTGGGCACTGCCGCCCACGTCATACCCGGAATGGGCATCAGCGGGGGCATCCCGGGGGGCAGGAAGGGCGGCGCGTGCGCAGCACTGTGTGCGGGCGCGTGAGACGAGACTTGTACCGGGGCGTGGTACGGCACTGACTGGTGCGGAGGGGCTTGTGGCACCGACGGTTGCCCTGGCGCGACGAACGGCATCGGCGCGCCGTACGGGGAGACATACGTGTGCGGGAACCCGCCCTGCGCTGCTGGATGTAATGGCGCGTGGGAGGGTCCCGCACTTGGGTAGTTGCTGGGCACCGTATACGGTGCGTAGGGGGCTTGGAGAGGTTGGGTGGACCCGGAGGGGTCCGACTGCGCAGGGGCAGTCTGAGGAGGTGGGGCCGAATTGGTCGTCGACGGATCGACGGCCATTCAAGCGGGGTTGAGCGTTGGGGAGGGCGGCTGGGACATGGCGAGCGTGGTGGTGCTGAGGCGCAATGGGTGCGGGGAGAGGTGAGGTGGCAGGAGGTCGATGCAGGCCACGACGAGCTCACCGCTTAGAGCGGCGAGCTCGTTAGCGCCTGCGGAGTTTGAAGCTCCGCCCGATCTCTCCAGATCCCCGCGACACGTCGTGTCCTTTGCTCACGTGCTTACTCGTCCTCTTCCGCTCGCCCTCAGCCACCGTCTCGCTTTCGGTCCATTTCGACCTGCACTCGTTCGAGTGCGATAGATCCAGTAGGATCTATCCTTGCGCTCATATCCCTGGGTCGATTACGACCAGCACCTCGTGGAGTGCAACGCAGCTGCGTTCTACTTCTTTCGTGGCAGAGCTCGCCAGGACTTGACACCCATCAATCGACAGTACTCGTCCAGGGCAGCCAAGTCCTTGCAATGGTCATAGGGCTCCCATGTATGGTCGCCCATTGTCCATCTTACATGGAATTGGCATTTCTGCCCGGACCATTCGTGTCCAATGATCTCGTCGACCATCCATTCGGTGGTATCATCCGCCCCGAAATCGTAGAAAGCGCGAGCTTCGCGCCGAGGAAATAACGCGTCATCGTTAGCTTCATGTCGACGCAATAGCGAGACGTGAAACTTCGGATGAATGCGTCGATTCTTGAGCTCCGGTGGGAGCTCCAGCACGTAATTTGACGTGCTTGGAATACTCTCGAGGACCTTGTAAGGTCCAATGAATCTAGGCACGAGTTTTCATGCACGGCCCTTCGGAACCGAGAGGTTCTTTGTAGAGAGGTACACCAGGTCGCCTACCTCAAACTCAGGCTCTGCCTGCCTGTGTTTGTTGGCATGGTATGCCTGGGATACTCTGGACTCTATGATCGCGTCGTGGGCGATCTCGAGGTTCGCGAGTGCACGTTGCGCAAACTCGCGAACTCCGTGGAACAGAGTATCCGTTCGTATCCCACTCATAGACCGTGGAAGGTATCCGTAGTTAAGCTCGAAGGGAGCGAAACCCGTGGTGGAACTCGTGGCGAGAGTTCAGCGCGAACTC